GGGCCAATAAAGAGAATGGACTTAATGAGTGTTGTGAATCCTTAGTCAAGATTGTTATGTTGTGTAATGACTTGGTTTTTATTATCTGGAGAGTTCGGGATCCTTGGTGAGGCGGTGATTCGGGAGTTCGACTCTTCAGTTCGGATCTAACATTGCGAAGTGAGTTATCCTCACTATATCAACAGGGTCTAAGGCACCAAGGCCGGCCCTTTATCGGAGTTGTATCCGGGTATTTGCTTGATATGTTTAATGATCTGCTAGATCTGCATCCTGGTAGTTAGGATGGTATTATGTTAGTGACCTGGTTTAGGTCGGTATCCTGGTATATAGGATGATGCTATGTTTGTGACCGGTTAGGTCAGTATCCTGGATATGGGATGGTTGTTGTGTTAATGATCTATTAGACCGATACAATTACCTGTTATGTACTTGCTAGCATATGATATTTATGTGCACATGATTTTTTTATTGGTACGGGGGTTGGGTTGAGGCGGGTCCTGCTTCGTGTTGTAGGACAACATACCAAGGGCGGACCAGATAGACTGCAAACCCAGGAGGGCACATAGTCAGACTGAAGGCCGAGCGAGCGGTCCAGATAGGCTGGGCAGTCTAAACATGTTGAGGCTCGAAGAGTGGGTCAGATAGATTGAAGGCCTGATGTGGGCAGTCCAATCATACTGTAGACTCAGAGAGTGGACTAGGTGGACTGAATGCCCGATGTGGGCGGACCAGTCACACTGTAGAATCGAGATGAATGGCTTTTCTTTATTTGTTATATTATATGTTTATGGTTGCATGAGGTTGGTATTTTGGGGAACTCACAAAGCTCCCAGGCTTACAATTTCAGTTTATTGTTCCAGGTACCTCAACGAATAACCACGGGTAGGTGAAGGCATTACCGTACACTTCCTCATGTTTTGATTTGGATTTCTGGGATACTCTGATATGAAACTATTTTGGAAACCTTTTTATAATAACTATTGGTATTTGAATTGTTTTTAACAGTTTAAATTTGGCATGAATTTTATGGGTGTTACAAATTCTTTTAGAAATTTGTACAAACTATAACAATCAGTTTATGGGTTGCATTCTTAACTTAATAATTTTTAAGATTTGAGGTTGGTCATAATGTGGTGAAGGAATCATCATGACATGACAATCAACATGAATTGCGTATTTCATCAAAGGTCGCCATGACAGGGCAACATGTGTGACACGATGTGGCGAAAAAAGAGAAGCAAAACCCTAATTTTTGGGCTTAAGGTCCTATTTACAGGAAGTGATGGTTAGGTTTTCCCCTACCCTCAGCCTCCAACACCTCCAAAGGACCCTTGTTAAACTATAACCTCCACTTTGCAAGTTTCAGTTGATTTTGGTGATTTTGGTGTTCTTTGAAGGAAGAAGAAAAGGTTCTTAGTGCAAGGATCAAGCAAGAAATTCCTACTTACCTTTTGGATCACCTTTTGGACCTTTTTAAGTTCCTTTTTTCAAATCTTGTTCGTTGGCTTCTTCTAAGATCTAGGTTTAGTGGCTTACCTTTTATGTTCTTGGTGTTTTGATTACATGGATTTAATAAAGTTTGCAACTTTATTAATCCTTGGGATCCCAAGTTTGTTTGATGCTCCAGATCTAATGAGTTTTACAACTTTGAGTCCATGCATGGAGTTTAAACTCATTTATGCACATTTTTGACCTAGTTGGATGAAGGACATAGATGGGGCATGCACATTCATAAAGTTTGGATTTTTATGAGCTTTTGGAGTACCTAGAAGCTTTATGCTAAATATGAGTTTAGGCTTAGTGTATTTTTGACTCATTCCATTAAGTCGTTCAAGGATGGTAGCCATGATGTGGTGACTTGGTTGCCATGGCATGGGAGAAGGAGGGATCCACAATGGTTCTGTTTGGTGTAGCCATGACATGACAATATGCCGACCATAACATCAAAAGCACTTCATGATCGTGACTTATACTTGAGACCTACGACGTGGCCATGATGTGGAGATCTACTAGCATTGACTTTAACCGTTGACCTTGACCATTGATTTTTTAACCTAGTTTGACTTTTAGTCAAGTCTCTAGTTTTAGAAGGTAGACTAAGGGTTTACCTTATATGATTAAGTACGGGGTGTTTAGCACTCATTCCTTGGTTTATGTGAGCTTGTTAGTTATTGACTATGTTTGTTACTCTTTTCGCTACACTATGTAGGATGCTAACGGTCTTTATGACTCTTGCATGGAAAACTAGGGCTTGACCCTTGGAATTTGTATGTAAGACTAGGGTTTGGACCCTAGAATTTGCATGAGAGACCAAGGTTTTTCCCCTAGAAATATATGTAAGACCAAGATCCATTCCCTAGCACATATACAAGTCAAGTCCATGGTTTGGCCCTTAGCAGAGAGCCATGGTAAGACTATGATTCGGTCCATAGCATTCACTTGGGGTTGAAATAGACCTGTTATGTTATGTATGGTATATAGTATTTTGGGGAACTCAATAAGCTTTGTACTTATAGTTTTGTGTTTTAAATGTTTCATGTACTTATGGTTCTAAAGGGAAGGGCCTGACATAATCGCATATCATCCCATGGAGTTTATTACACACTATTTATTTGATTAACTATGATGTTTGAGAATATTTTATACATTGATTGGTTTTGAAAAAAATGGTTGTATGTTTTGATGTTTTGAAAATGAAATTACTATTATATTTGGGACGTTAAAAGTAAGTCTCAGAGCCTTGGTTTGATGGATCCAGGAACACTTTCCGATGTGTCTGAAATCAAGCTAAGGATTAATAAAACATTTTAAAAGAAATCAAATTTTCTAAAAAGGCTTATATAAAGAAAGTGGTGCAACGTGTGCAATTAGCTGGGGCTCAGGTAAGAGATTCCCAAAATACTTATACATGTTGATATGTTATTTTTGTTATGGTATGATATGCATGCTAGAAGTTAGAATAAGGATCTGCTGAGGGATGCATGCTAGAATACTTGCTTAGGAGAAATGCATTTTGATGTGAGTTAGAATTGATAAACAAACATGAAATCAATCAAAGAAAGAAATAAGAACACATCATGTAAATATGATCTGATTGGCTCGTATTAGTCTGAAGATAGTACAAAGTTGATGAGAGTGTTTATAAACTGAAGAGCACAAAAGTTACTTTCAACTCTAGTACCTACCCTATTTATAGTGTACAACAGACTCAACAAAAAATACAAGGACGAAACATTCTAGCTTCGAATATAAACAGTTCCTTGTAAAATATATAGAGAGTCAAAATCATTTCGATATCGACTCCTTACATACTTATACTATTTCGACTCCTCACTATCAGTGTTTCGACCCCTACAATCTTACCCTTAATGAGAGTAGTCAAAATTATGACATAAGCTTCAAAGTCTGAAGAAGTACATTGTGATTTTCCATATACCATAAAATAGTCTTTCAAATATCTAACTTGTCGTCACCTACATTCTTCTTGCAGTTGTTAATTCAAGCAAGGAGATTGTTATAATGATAATTCCTATACCTCTCTAAATCACTCACTCGAAACAAAAATATTGTCATCTTCCCATTCATGTTCTCCCCTAGAAACAATACTCCAAGAGGCTGATGAATTAAGTAACCATCTTCATACTTATCAATATTAATATTTCCTTTCAGCGAATATTAAGGGACTTTCAAAGGCTTTTTGATAGCTAAAGCAAGCTCAATATACGTGATTGCCAAGTAATAATAGTAGTTGTCTATGAAAACCTTGATATGATAAAAAGCATTGATGATATCATCCTTGTTAGTTTTAGTTAGCTTTGAAACATCCGCATTACTCAAAATCATTATGACTGTAATCAATTCATTTAAGTTCATCAGTGGGAAATATGCAATTGAGAACTCAGAAACAACCTTGTTCTCTCTTAACACCACATAGAGAAAAATTTTCAAAAGACCTTCGAACAAGTTGCCTCACATTATAGTCATCACTTTCACTATCTTCACAGATGACCATATTTCATCTTTGCTTTTCCCCAAAACTTCATGGAAACAAATCTTCAGTTTATTGAACTTGTCTTTATCATTGAAATTTTCAACAATCTTGAACTGGGAATATGTAAACAACATGTGGTTTATTGGAAAGTCAAGCTGATTGAAATCATAATTCCCAATATCATAGCTCTTTTTAGGCACCTTTCGAAAGTATTCATTCAACTCAATAGAAACAATATCCTCAATCGTTTTATAACACCACGGCTTGTTGGGATCACCCTTGTTTAATCCAGGTGGGTTATTTTGTCTTTGCCTCATGATACTATTGATCTGACTTTGCTTCTCAATTTCAAGAGCTTGTTGCTTTTTCTTTTCTTATTTATATAGAAGCATAAAAATAGCTTTTCCTTTATTACTTGGATCATCATTCGAAGGTAGGGGAATTGAACTTGAACTCGAACATCCAGCTCCTTTGTTTATTGAGATCCCTTTTGTCAGCAGTATTATAGTTGTTGTTGTAGAAGTTGTGGTCAATGATATGGGAAGTGAAGATAGAATTTGAGTTGAACTCACTTTCCCAACAACAACTCCTTTTACATAATCTTTTGAGGAACCAACTCCTCCACATCCTTTCTCTCTCCATTATAACACTTGCACCACATGTGGAGCATTAGTTAGTAATCGAAGAACCAACTCAAGGATTGGAGCCAATTTTGACTTGATATTGGTCTCAATAGTCAAAAGCAATTGAGAAACAGACTCTTGAAAAACTGAGGATCGGTTCGAGAGAGCATCTTTCGAAATAGACTCCTTAATATTGGATAAAAACTCTTCTAACTTTTTCCAACACCTGAGAATCCTTTTCTAAATTTTCTTCAATCTTATTTGAATACTCAATGTTAAACTCAACCAACTTTGTGATAGCAATCAAAATGACATCGGCTATGCTATGCAACACAGTGTAATTTCGATCCATCTTTTCAACTTCTTTTGACATCTCCAATTTGAGTTCAGCAACTTTGAGATCCACAAATTCTTTTATTTTCGTAACTTGTTGAACAAAAAATTTCATGAAATTTCTTTGCTATGTCACGAAGCTTCTGAATCTCATAGTCAAAGCTTTTGGAATGAACTGCTAACTTTTCGGCTTGTTTCCGCTTAATGATTTCAACTAAGCTTCGAAAGCAATTTTCTTGATTTTTTAACAAATACTCCATCTCGATCCCGTTCACAAAATGCCTTCCCCAAGTATCTTCTTGTATTTGAAGAAGATAATTTATTGTGGAGTTGAGGAGTTTGAACTGTTTACCTGACATATTCAAGTCACCAGGAAGATTTTCTTCATCAGTATCGAATTGAAGATCATCAAAGGATACCATGATATCATCATTATTTGGTTCTTCATCATGAATCATTCTTTCAACCTTAGTGGAGTGATAAGATAATAGAGTGGTGATAGGTTCATGTATGATTGTGAAATATGTTGGTGAGATAGTCGAAACTGGAATAGAAGTTGTTAAAGGTGATGAAATAGGTGGTAAAGAAGTGGAGGTTTCAACGATAGAAGTTTTGATAGTAGAAAAGATGATGTTTGAAGTATGGATTGTTGAATTTTGAAAGGTATAAGTAACAAATGATTCATTGTTCTGCACCCCATCACCAATGTTGAAATTTGTGTCCTTATAAGATAAGTCCATAGGGATGTTTGGATTTCAAACCTCCTCCGTATTGGACTCGGTATGCGAAACACCAGGTGGTATGACCTTAGTCTTCTCAGGGATGGATGTTGTTGTTTGATCATTAAAATTTATGTTTGTATTAATATTAGATACGTTAAAGTGACATCAATATCACTATCGCCTAGAAATTCGAGCTGAGAGGAGAATCCCTTCAAGGTGATCCAATGACTGAATCTCCTACGTGAATACCAGAAATTCCACTATCACTGTCGTTATCAATTTCGATTGTGACTTGATCAAGTGGATCTTGGTGCTTTTGTTTTTTCTGGTGCAACTTCTTCAAGACAGGAACTGATACTTCTCTAAACAAAACTCCTTTCCTGTTGAACTGAGGCTTTCGAATATTCTTGATACCCTTATGAGAATAATGAGTATGTGAAGAATCAACATGTATTTACTCATTAGGTTCGATTCTGGTTCTTGAACAAATTGTTTAACTGGGGAATAAATAGGTTTCTTTGTTGATTTCTTTGTACACTTGAGAATTCCTAATTTTGAAGGAATAATTTCTTTCATAACATCCTCCTCCACGGTAGGTGGTTTCTCAGTTTGATTTTTCTTCTTTGGAGCTTTAGAAGGTTTTAAAGAACCCTCATCCCCCTTTGATGGAAGAATACCAATAGATACATTAGAATCAAAAGAATCTAAATACTGCACAAGAAGTGGATTTTAAGGATCAACTAGCTTGAGAATTGCATCTGAAATTCGAGCAACAATATGAAACACAACTTGATCATCCATAAATATCCTTGGGGCAGCATAGTTGGAAGCTCAATAATTTCGACATCAAAAGGAACCAAAATCCCCTCTTATTGAGAATGCTCTTTCAAAATCAAACTCCAATCTCTAGAACACAAAACACCATTAGCAAGATTGGTGTGATTTATGGTAGTTCCAAACTCATCCCAAAGGCGTGTGACAGTTCACATCCAGACCATAATACAACCCAACAATAACTGAATAAATCCCCATTTTAGCTTTATATAGCCCCAAGCTTCACCCTTTTAAGAACCTTAACAAAATTCCAAAGAGAAAACTCCGTATACATGGAATACTCGACTTCTTAAATGACTTATTTTGGTCAGAACTGGTTGATGCCCCCCTCTCATTAAACATATGAAATACTTGATCAGTATAATCTTCATAAAAGGAACTTGATACAATAAAGTCTGAGAACGAAATCACCAATTGCCTTTTATAATTGACAGTATTTTTGAATTTGAATCAATATCTGATAATACTCTGCCACGCATTCTATTGGTTATTTAACTTTCACCGTAAAAAACTCCACATCGTTAAAGTGATCATCACGCTTTCCTTGAATCATGTGAAAATCCTGAACCGTCGTGTCCATCGGATCTTTCATTGTTCCCAACCGGATAATAACTGCCACATTTTGCGAACTAGAACCAAGGATATGTAATTGATTTGACACAAAGATATCAGTATTCCTTCGACATAGAGGCAAGGCTCATTCACTTTTAGGATGCGATAGCAAAATCATATGCCAGTGTTTGCAAAATCTAATTTTTTAGTTGGTAGTACCCAAAACCTCAAGGATTTTAGTGCAATTGCATGCAAAAGAAAGAGAAAGAAGAAAATTAAAAAAGATGTGGATATTATGATATCAAAATGTTTTTGATACAAAAGCTGAATGATCGCAGACAAAGAACTCTTCATTCGACATCAAGAAAGATGACGAAGTGCTTGTGTGGTATCCGATGAATTACAATCGAATACTCACCGACGAGCATCAAAGGGCTTCTTGTTCATTGTTTTCGAAAGGTAGGTTCGATGTTGCTCAACACAACAATTAAACATAAGTAAGATTTAATTGAACAAAATTACTTGGATGACCAGTGTAGTGAAGAAGAAGTATAGTTGGATATGATTTTAAATGATAAGAAATAAGAAAGATATTCAAATAAAAATCACATTCTAAAAACGATTAAGTACTGGATCTTATTAGTAAAAATATGTCTTGGTTGTAGAACATTTCATCAAGATCACACAATTCAAATGGAATGAGATTTTGAATATAAAAAAGGTACTGAAACAAGTGTTTCGTTGAAAACACAAACATAAATGTCCATCGTCAATTCATTGATAGTTTCATTCATTGGGTTTCACCATCATCACGGAAGAATGAATCAGGATCATAAACACAGAGTGTTGTCATATCTACATTCTGGTTGGTTTCGACTAGAGATGCCGAGTATATGCAATGTAGTGTGTGATCATGAAAGAAATTTTGGTGAAAAAGATTTGTTATAAGAACTCATTGTTCCTCTACGAAATATATGGACATTATAAAAATCTCTTTACACAATATAATAAGAGAATGGTAGATCTTCGAATAATGCTAATATAGCCTAATTGGGAAGAAACTTTCGTAGTGAGAGTTCCATTAAGGCTTCGAACACATAGAGTCTGTGAGGCTTGAGGATAACATGCAACAACATGCTTCTAAGGATGCTTAACTAGTACATCAGTTTGAATAAATACATGTCCCCTTGATGGATATTTTTGTTGAGCATGCACCACAAGATCACATTGTTACAATGAGACATGAACCATTAAAAAAATATGAAGTATAAAAACAAGAAAATTTGAATTTTTAGTTTTTAGAAATCAAACACAAAAATAAGAAAATCGTTTTGTATTTTTGTATTTAGAAATCAATTACAAAAATAATAAATCTCTTTGGATTTTTTTTTAGAAATTAAATACAAAAATAAGAAAATATTTTTTGATTTTTGATATTTGAAAAATAACAAACAAATATGAACTTTAAAATGAAGAAAACAAAAATGAACTATAAAATGTTACTGAGAGACATTCGGCCTAGCAGATAGCAACCCTCAATCATATGCTGCACATCGAAAAACTTTTTCCAAAAGCGAATTTAGTTCCGAATGGTTCAGAGGGATTCAAATGTGAAAACAGTCATATACTGAACGGAAACAATAACTTCTGAACGGTTCAGAAAATGACCAACAAAATCAACAACAACTCGATGAAGAAGAATAAGTAACCGAACATGCTTCTATCATTCCCAATCCATTCAAAATCCTTAAGAATGACTTTTCATCTAAAGGTTTTGTGAATATATATGCAAGTTGATCCGTTGTTTTGACAAAATGCACCTCAATGTTCCCGTCTTCTTCATGGTCCTTTATGAAGTCATATCGAAGAGCAATGTCTGTGGTTTTTGAATGTTGTACTGGATTCTAGAAGATGCGAATGGCACTTTGTGAATCACAAGAAAAATGAATTTTCTTCATATTGTTTGCATAGAAAAAGTTGTGATTCGCATGCAGCATCAGCCACATACTCTGATTCTGCAGTCGAAATCAAATACAAGATTGCTTTTTTGATTGCCGTCTCACAAGTTTTTCATCCAGTAATTGACATCCGCCAATTGAGCTCTTTTGAACAATTTGACATCCACCTAGATCCGCATATGAGAATACTTGAATAAAGAATCAAGTCTTTGATGGATACCAAAATCTCAACGAAGCTGTTCCTTTGAGGCAGTGAAATATATTCTTTATAGAATTGAGATGAGGTTGTCTTGGGTTCGATTGATACCTGGGACAATTACATATAGCAAACATAATATCAGGTCAAATGGTAGTTAAATCCAAAAGTGAATCGATTAAGCTTCTATATGCCGTTAAGTCCATAACAGGTTTATCCAATGAAGGATTCAAGCATGTGCCTACAATCATATGTACTTTAACTTTAGTGTTATTTATCGAGCCAAACCCTTCAAGCAGATTGCGTGTATATTTTTCTTCATTAATAAAAATGCCTTCGTTGCTTTGACTAATATGCAAACCCAAAAAGTTATTGATTTTCCCCATCATAATCATTTCGAAATTACTTTTCATGAGTTCCTCTCTAACGACTTAAATTTTTCAAACCAAAAATTTCAATTTAAAAATAAAACACAATTATGATAGTAACAAAATCCCAAAACGTCACAATGTCAAAACATCAAAAACCATAGTCAGAAACTCTCTCTCTCTCTCTCTCTCTCTATATATATATATATATATATATATATATATATATATATATATATATATATATATATAACTCCAGGATCCTCTAAATCATAACTCAAACTCTAATTTGTGTCTACAATCATGTCGGCGCATTCCCGTAATCATGAGAGGTACGTGAAACACATAATACATAACACAGTATATATATATATATATATATATATATATATATATATATATATAACTCCAGGATCCTCTAAATCATAACTCAAACTCTGATTTGTGTCTATAATCATGTCGGCGCATTCCCGTAATCATGAGAGGTACGTGAAACACATAATACATAACACGGTAACCATTAACTTAGTGAGTTCCCCAATTATACCACATACAACACATTAGCCACTCAAGGTTGTAACTCCATAAGACCCTCCGGTCTATGTATCTCAGTGGGACCCTCCAGTTCCACGGCTCATTGGACCCTCTGGTCCTGTCTCGGTGAGGACCGTTGGACCCTTTGGTCTGGTCTTAGTAACACATAATATAGCATACATATCACACAGACAAATGAATAGCTCAAGTAAGCACTTAAGACCCTCAGGCCATACATAAGCTTGCAAGTAAAAGTCTCACCTCGTAAGTTAGAAAGTAAAAGTCTCATACTAGGAAACCTCGATCTAGCCTCCGCCTACCACATATGATAAATACCTCTAATCAATACTCTATTATACTAAAATACACCACATGTTGTTCTCTCTACCACTCTAGCCCTAGGAATTAGTAAAAGACCATTTTACTCCTCCCTGATCTCCATTTCTCATTTTGACCAACCTTAAAGTCAACAGAAGTCAAAGTCTAGTCAACAGTCCAAGTTGACCTGACTCGTTGAGTGCACTCGTGCGACTTGTCGAGTCCCAACATTTCTCAATAGTCTCATGAAAGTCCAGC